AGTACTTAAACCCGCTGCGCCACCAGGGAGGGCCAGAACTTTTGCACCTTTAGCAGAATTTGTTTTAACTCTCCCTGGGCTTTGTGGGTATGACACAGTGAGGAAGCTGTAGGCTCAGTATCTAAGCGAAGCCTGACAGACCACATAACTAGTGAAATACATTCGATGACCCTATACTGTAGCATTCTGTGTCTATCTGGTTTTCAATATTTACTATGTGCTTAATTTGCTAACCAGCAGGTCTTTTTATCATCACTCTTCAGGCACTGTATCTGTAGCTCTGTGGAAGGGCTATGACCCACAGAGCTTCTGTCTTTTTTTTCCACATATTTTAAAACTAGGATCCCTAAAATGGATCTTCTTCTGAAGTAAAATGAATGGTATTAAGCTCTGTTAACCATAACTCTGAGGAGTTGTTGTAGGTGAAGAGTGATAGGTATTATTGAACACTATCATTCATAGTTTACAATAGGAAGTGTTTGGAAGAATGTGATGGAAATAGGGGCACTATATCATCTGAAATGGGAAGAAAGTTTGGCCCTTTAGGGGGTGTCTTTATTCTTAAATTTAATAGTATGACATCAATAATAAAATATGAATAAGCTTGAGGAAGTAAATATGATTGAATATATTAATGACTGAAGATAGAAAAGGCTCCTGTGTGGGAGAATTCTCCATCATTTATGTTGATGACCTACCCTCCAGAAGTAGGGTCATCAACATAACCCTTTTTTGTCGGCTGCACATAGTGACTTCCTTCCAAATTGTACAGTATGGAGAGAGGGGACAAGAAAGTAACTTTAGGGCCCTTCCTGGTGGAGCAGCAGGTTAAAGCACAGCATTGCAAAGCCAGCCACAGCCTTTTCAGTGCAAGTTCAATCCTGGGCCAGGGAGCTGACCCACATGGCGTGGCAGACCTCTCCTGTCTTGCCCGCTGCTGCCCTCAGCAGTGTACTTTGTCCATCTGCCAGTTCTGCTCCCCACTCTGTCTCTGGTGAATCCTCTCACTGCCCCTGCACCTCTGGCCTGTGCCCCAATTCTGTATACATAAATAAATCTTTTAAAAAAAAAAAAAAAAGGCAAGAGTAACTTTACTGTGCAGACACTTGACCTCAGCAAGACCAGCAAGGTCAACATCAAGTTACATTAAGAATTTTTTTTTGTTTTTAAGATTTATTTACTTACGCATATAAGAACTGGGATACAGGGAAACAGGAGAGGTCTGCTGTGCCGTGTGGGTCATTCCTTGGTCAGGGATTGAACTTGTACCACAGTGGCTATGGATTACTTCATTATGCTGTGCTTTAATCCTTGTGCCACCAGAGAGAGGGCCCCCCATTGAGAGTCTTATGTGATGAGCATGGTGCTTTCCCACAGTGATCCATCTCCCAAGAGTCCATAGGCCCCAGGATAACCAGAAGAGAAACATCAGAAAAGCCTCCATTGTGGAACAATCTACAGAATGCTGATCAATGCTCCTCAAGCCTATGAAAGTTATTAAAAACATGGAAAAGTTGGACAAATTGTTAAGTCTTAAGAGATCCTAAGGAGATGTGAGGACCAAATGTCATGTGGTATCCTTGAGGAGGTCCTACAACAATGGACATTTGTTAGGTAAAAACAAGGGAAAGCTAAGTGTCGACTACAGTCCTGGTCTCCACACTGGCTCCTCACACTGCCACCGTGAGATATGATGCTACCAACAAGAGAAACTTGGCTTTTCTGTAAATCCCAAACTGTGTCAAAATGAAGTTTATTTTTTTTTTAAAAAAAAAAAGAGAAATCAGAGCCTCCCTGGTGGTCAAGGGGTTAAGTGTCTGTGCTGTCTCTGCTGAGTTGATCCCAACTAGGGAGTGACCCACATGGCACAGCAGACCTCTCCTGTGTCCCCACTGCTCCCCTCAGCAGTGTACTTAAGTATATCTGCCTTTTCTGCTCCCCACTCTTATCTCTGGTGAATCCTTTCACCCCATGCACCTCTGGCCTACACCCCAGTTCTTCTACACACACACACACACACACACACAAATATCACTATCTACCAGTGTTAGTTTTAAAAGGTTTGAGTAACACTGGAAATACTCTGTAAGATAGACTTTCAATTTCTGACATTTACTTTCTGTTCTACTTTCTCAAAATATGAAATTCTCATTGCCTAAGACTGACTTCTTTCAGAGGACCATTTGCTGTCAAGTACTCTATGGCTCTTTCTGGGTAGAGAGCTCTCTGGGAGGTGTCAGGTCAGCAGTCTAAACATGTGAAGAGATAAATGATTCGAGGCACCAAGATTTCATGTGTATGTCTGTCTTCCAAAATACAAACGTGAAGGTTATTGTATTATAAACTGCCATGTGAGAGTTTGGCCCATGTAAAGGCATTGCCCTGGGTGGGAATGAGTGGGCAGTTTTCAGTCTTGGCTGTTTCACTCCCACTGGATCAGTGTTGACCAGGGCCAGGCCACCCCTGTGCTAGGCTGTCATTCCTTTCAGGGGACCCATTCAGGAGCACTTGTGTAGGAGACCGTCACCCATGGTATAGCACATACATGAGCGATGCGAACAACAAACTCGATGGCAGGGCTTGTGAGTCATTGTCAGTTGCTGGCCCTGTTGAGATGGATCTAGTGAAAACAGATATGTTGAGATATGTCCAAAAGGTGCTCCATCTCGGATAAAAATGAGCAATATAAAATGAATTAAGATTAGTTTATGTGTGTGTGCCCAGTAGTAAGAAGTAGCTTTATATGGAAGCTATCAGCTCTCAGAAAGAAGTAGGCTAGCAGTTTTGGAAACAACTAAAACGTGTCAAGTATTTTAAAGAAATAAAACATAGGGACAGCTAAAACCTCACTCCTTGCCTTTTCATCCTTTCTTCACATTGTCCTGACGAGATATGTATCATTTCCTGGCCTTTAAACACGTGTTACATATATGATGTGTATTCGTGCAAACGTGTGTATATATATTTTTGTTAATAAGTAATATGTACTCGTGTTGGCGTTTTAACAGGTTAAATGTTGTTCCAAACCAATCATTTGATAATTTGCTCTGTCTTTTCACTGATTGTTACTGACATTGGTTTATGTGATAAACACAGATCGAGTTCTTCCACTTTAACCACTCTATTTCATTATGTGGACATCATTCCATTATATCCCTGGGGAAACAGTGGTTAGGGACTATGTCGTGTTTTGCTCTTCCTGGCTGCAGTGACTATTGTTTATGTGTCCTTGTGAACATACAGAAGAGCAGCTTTTGGCTGGACCCTAGAACTGGGCTTGCAGTTCACAAGCATCAAATTACTCTTCAGAGTGCTTGTGTGTGCGTCCATGTACACATGCGTCAGCATTTCTCCATCTCTGTAAATCTGGCATTATCAGACACCTTTGTCAGTCTTATGGGTGTGACTCATTTCTCTGCCTAAGAATGAGATTGAAGATCTCAAGCATATATGCTTGAATTTCTGGGACATTCTTCCAAGAATTGCACACTTATTGCCTCTCAGTGACCTGGTATTTCTTGAGGTCAGGGGCCTTGGTTCATTGGCCTTGGCCATAAGGTCTCAGAACATGCCACAAGTTAAATTGGAGGTGGGCTAAGAGAGTTTAGTTTTTGCCATATGTAGTTGTTTTGTTTATTCTAATGCTTTTGGATATGTGTGTGATGTGTGTGTGTTAAGTTATTGTTGACTCGTCTCATATTGTTCCAGAAAAAAGTTATATAAAATATCTAACTTAAAAATAAAATAATAAAAATTATCTAATTTGCTAAGTTTGTGATTCAGTGTCTAAAAGAAATATCTTTTTTTCTTTTTTTTTTAAGATTGATTTATTCATGCTTACAGAACTGGGGGACAGGCCAGAGTGCAGGGGCAGTGAGAGGATTCACCAGAGTAGGGAGCAGAACAGGCCGACTGACAAGTACATTGCTGAGGGAGCAGCGAGAGGGTCAGGAGAGGTCTGCCACGCCATGTGGGTCACCTCAGGGGCGTGTATCAAACTTACGCTGAAGTGGCTTTAGTTTCTTAGTGCTGCTTTAACCTGCTGCACCACCAAGAAATATCTTTTAAAACAAGATTTGCAGTTTCCTGAAAAGATAAACATACTTTGACCATATAATTTAGGTGTTGGGGACCAGCCCCAAAAACAGACTAGTGGGGGCAAGACAGGCAGGGCCCTAGGGTGGGAAGGCCTCAGCATGTGGTGATTCAGCATGTGGAGTGTCCAAGAAGGAGGAAAGGGGAGCCGGTGTGAGGAAGACATGTGAGTCAGAGTTGGGTGCAAGTCTTCCTGCCCATCTTTTTAGCAGGTCTTTACTTATACTGTGTAGTAAGTAGTTAATTACAATAATGCATCAGGTAAGTTAATAAGAAATCAGCATAAAAGTTCTCAAGGAAGAGGGGAACAATGTATCCTCTTCCTGACTCTTTATGGCATACTAGATGATACATATTTGTGATAACTTTCATGTATACCAATGTTTAACTATGACTCAAAGGATAAGCGGTCTGAGAAAAGATGATCTGTTGGCAAAGGATTTAGGGGTCCTAGGGAAGGAATAAATTGTGTTAGCAGAGTCATCAGTGATTGTCTAAAGAGAAGCTAATGGCTAACTTAAGGCTAGCAGAGAGTAGCTAGTGTTTGTTTTAGGAAAAGGTTAATTAAGACTTGCAGAGAGTAATTAGAGACTGTTTAAGAAAAGGGTAAATTAAGAGGAAGTCACATAGTCATGCATTAAGCAGAACCTGTGTCAATAATGTTAGGAAATTGTCCATGAGTCCTTATGCCTTGGGAGTTTTATCACAGGTTTGCTTTTTGTTTCAGAAGACCAAGGAAGCTTCCCAGGAGTCTTGATGCTCTGGGGGGGGGTCTTATCTCTCCTGGGGCTTGACGCTCCTCTCCAGAGACAGAGGAACTGCCCTGGGGCGTCTCATACTTTGCCCCAGCCAGGTAGCCAATTTATGAAGGCAATCCAGTTGCAAGCTGATGGTTGCTTAGAATATTTTTGATATTATGATTACACAAAAAAGGGAGGTAGTAACGTAAGTTAGCAATGGAGATTCTGATTTTTCAGAGCTTCTCCCTCCCATCCAGAATTTGTCAGTCGACAGAAGTTGCATAGCTTGTGTCAGTTTAGCAATTGTGTTACTTAGATATTACCCAGGTGATGAAAGTATATACCCATACACAGATCTGCCCTGAATGTTTATAGCAATTTTATTCATAATTGCCAAAAGTTGGATACATCCAGATGTCTTTCAGTAAGTTAGTGGATAAACAAACTCCATACCATAGAGTTTACTCAGCAATAGTAAAAGAGCTATAAGACCATGAAAAGATGTGGCAAAACCTTACATGTACATAGCTAAGTAAAAGGTGCATTCTGGAAAGTCTGTCTATACTGTCTGATTCCAAGATGGGTTGACATGGAAAAAGTGAAAGTGGTCACTAGGGTTTCAGGTTGTCAAAGCAATGAATTGGTGAAGCATGGAGGACTTGTTTTTTTTTTTTTTTTTTTTAAAGATTTATCCATTTATTTATTTGTACAGAACTGGGGTACAGGCCAGAGATGCGGAGGGTGAGAGAATTCACCAGAGACAGAGCGGGGAGCAGAACAGGCAGATCGACGAAGCACACTGCTGAGGGGAGCAGCGGGCGGGTCAGGAGAGGTCTGCCACGCCATGTGGTAGCCTCCGGGGCAGGCGGGAATCGAACTCATGCTGAAGTGGCCTTAGCTTCCCAGTGCTGTGCTCCAACCCGCTGCGCCACCAGGGAGGGCCGCATGGAGGACTTTTAAAGAGGGAAATTAGTATGACAATGTAATGGTGGATACCAGACAAAGAACTCTGTATAACATAAAATGTGAACTAGATTTTGGGTAACAGTAATTAACGTATCAATGTTAGTTCATCGGTTATAACAAATATTTCATATAGATGCAAGAGGTTACTAGTAAAAGGAAGAACCAAGAGAGTGGGGATAATCCTAAAAATACTCTAAAAGATTGTGTAATTTTTTTAATCACTTCATTGAGTTCAGGTTTTACTAGATGTACCCAGTTATGTGAAACAATTATTATTTTGAATGGAAACAGGTTAAATTTTTCTTTTTTATGACATCTTAATTTTTGAAGCCTTTAGACAACTATTGTCACATTCTATAGATTACATATAAGCCCAATTCTTGTTGAAAATTTTTTAAATATTTATGCACACAGGAACTGTGGTACAAGCCAGAGGTTGGAAGGTAAGAAAATTCATCAGAGACAGAGTGGGGAGCAAAACAGACCGATCTTCTAAAATCCACTGCTGAGGAGAGCAGCGGGGAGACAGGAGAGGTCTGCTGAGCCCTGTGGGTCCCTCCCTGGCCGGGGATCGAACTCAGGCGTCAGTGGCTGCAGGTAGCTTCATAGTGTTGAGACTTAACCCCTTGTGCCACTAGGGAGGTCCCTCATTAGGAAAATTAATTCCACTTTCCTTAAGAAACAAAGTGGAATAGGGGCACCTCCTTGGTGGTGCAAGGGTTAAGTTTCAGCACTAGCAAGTTATCTCCAGCCACTGCAGCCAGGGAGCTGACCCACATGCTGCAGCAGACCTCTCCTGTCTTGCCCACTGCTCTCCTTAGTAGGGTATTTCAATAAATCCTCCTGTTCTTCCCCCTGTCTGTCTCTCGTGCGTCCTCTCCATCCCAACTCCCCATCCCCCCCCCCCCCCCCCACACACACACACACCTCTGGCCTATGCCCCACTTCTTGTAATCATAAATAAATACATTTTTTAATGGAATAAAGTCTTGACTTTATGGTTTTCTTCCTGTGTTTTTAAGTAATTTAGAGCAAAGATTTTCTATCTTAGCAGTCTTCCCAAGGGCTATAGTAGCTAAAATAATCTGGGATGCTTATCTTAATTCTTAATTCTTTTAAGTTCTTTATAATATAAAATTCTTTTTCATTGATTCTAGTACATCCATTTTAGGACATTTTAGCCTCTCTGAAATTGGTACATTTCTTGGAGTTAGTGACGTCTTGGAGTTAGTGAATTGGTGAAATGCCTAGTAAAGCTTAAGCGGAATTTAATGTTACAAAATGATTGCAGTTTTTAAACTCGTGTTATGGGATCTTGATGCTCTCAAACATGTCTTTCAGATGCTCTTTGTGTGGCTATGTGTGCAGCCACCCTCCGTCTCTGAAGTCCCATATGTGGAAACATGCAAGTGACCAAAATTATAACTACGAACAAGTAAACAAGGCTATTAACGACGCAATTTCACAAAGTGGCAGGTATTTGTTCTGACTCGTTCCCTTTATTTTTGTATATGACTTCAAGTTAGGATTAAATTTATTATTCCTGCAGTATAACCAACTCAAAGTTTGGTGTGTTTTCTTTTGTTTAAGAGTTCTAGGGAAAACCCCTGGACAGACTCTAGTAAACAGCAGTGAAGAAAGAGCCGATCCTGTCAATGGAAGTTCAGAAAATTTGGTGTCATCCTCAGAGCTGAGTTCCCAGACCACCAGTGAAGTCATAGGTCCCAACGAGAGTGAGAAACTGAGCCCTACAAGTAATACCTCATCTAGCGTAGAAAAAGCCTCCAGCCTCGCCCCTCCCGGTATGGAGTATTGTGTTTTACTCTTCTGTTGCTGCATTTGTGGCTTTGAATCTACCAGCAAAGAAAATCTCTTGGATCACATGAAAGAGCATGAGGGTGAAATCGTAAACATCATCCTAAATAAGGACCACAGCACAAATCTAAACACAAATTAGTTGGAATAATTACTTGAAGAGGAAAACAGTTTTACTTTTGCATTTTCAAGTAGCTTACTAGACTCAGAAGAAATAGTTGGGGTGATCTTTGAGAAATGACAGGTGTCATTTCCTTTGGAACCAGATTTTTAATGTAATCAAAGGAATTCCAAATGGATAAGCAGTAAATACTTATGTTGAGTAAGGGGCAGTGGGTTGAGGAGGAAGCAGAAATGTAGTCCTGTATTCACCCTGTTACCTCTTCTTAGTATTGAGTGTATTTATTACTAAAAGCTTCTTATAGTATAGAAATGCAAGTAAAAGAGTTGAGAACGGACTTTGCAGGAACTAGTCTAAAATTTGTTACAAAATGTCATAGTCTTAAGCAGAGCTTGTTTTGTTCATGCTGGATTTCGACAGGCCAGCTGCAGAGTGACAGGCCTGAGGTGAGCCCTGGGAGGCAGCTGCTGAGGGCTTTGCGCAAGCGCGTTACCAACAGTCAGCAGGGGAGAGTAAAGGGTTTCGAAGCGGTCGAAGTCTTTCCCCAAACCAGTAGGAATTAGTCACCTATTCACGCAAAGACATGTTTTAGTCCTTAGAAAAGAAAAACGAGACCTTTAAATCCAGATCTGGATTGTAAGTAGACATTTCAGAAGTAGATGTCTTAAACTGACAATGAGTTTCTTATGGGCAAAGGAGGAAATAGGTCAATTCTGATCAGACTCGACCCAGATCTCAAGATCTGTCGAAAGCTTCGTCACTTCTTTCCAGAGTGTATAACGACGTCCGCATGCGGTCCCTGGCTCCTGGGCCTCTGGCTCTCCTGCAGGCCAGACCAAGCTTGTCTTCTGAAAAGTGTTAAAGCAGCAAAGTGAAAGTTGGCCTTTGATCCTTGGACCTTATGAATAGCTTGAACTCTTAAACAAACATCATTTGGGGGAAGAAGGATGAAATTCAGAAGCCTCTTAAAAAGAATATCACTATTGAGGTATTACTTCCTGGCATTTGTTAACTTAGTTATGCTTAATGTAAGAGGTATAACCAAATGTGATTGAAATACAGTCAAAATTCAGGTTGTTTCTAAAATACTTAATAACAGACAGCATTTCTACAGGGTTTCTCCTCTTTAGGAAAATTCCATTTTGTTAGTGTGCCAATAGTGTAAGGAAAACCAACTAAAAGTGCTTTTGCTTTAAAACTCATCATCAAATACACATAATCTCACTCATTACACATTTGTATTATAATGTATTTCAACGTGACGAGAACAAGACTTTTTGGTTTGTTTTGTATTTCTCATCATTTGTGTGTGCATTGTGATGTTAAAATCAATTCTGCCTACGCGTGGGAGGCCGGTGCGCCAAGCAGGCACGATCTCTGTGGTGCTCTTCCTCAACTCGATCCTAACCTCTAGAGCTGAAGCTGTGACACCGACCAACTTGGGATTGAATAGAGAATTTCCCGGGTTGGGTGTATTTTAAGAAAGATATATTTTAGGAAAGAATTCTCTTCCCAAGGTCTAGCTAAGAATGAAATGAATTAACCTTTTCAAAAAAGCATTGGGGACTATTTAAAACAGTTAGTTAGGCATCTTGAAACATTGTCTGATTTGTTGTTTTTTTTTTAATCTCATTTTGATGATGATATTTAAACAAAATTGATTATAACTTTGCAGTTGTTTAATTCAGGTAGTTTTATTAATTTATTTATGAAAGTTAACCCATTTCTGATATTTGATTTTGGAAGGGTAGAATGAATTTATATACACTAGATTGTATTCCCCAGTTCCACTATATGTGGATTTATATTCATTTGTTTTCAGAATTAAAGCACATTTATATTTCAGTTCAAATTGAAATAAAATGTTTTCAGTGGTTCCACTACTGCTCATCATTGCCATTCCATCAGTCTTTCCATTGTTGGTAGCTGTTCCTCAGTGTTCCCTTGTCAGATCTGTTACTCTAAAATTTAACCTAAGGAGAATTTTGTTTTATAAATCTTCCCTGGTTTTCTGTAATCATTTGGGAAATACCAAACAGAAACACCCCCAAAATTTCAATAGTGAATTGATTTCTAAATAACTTTTTTCATTTCCTTATACCACATCCACTCATTGATACTTGAATTTTCCATTTGCAATCATGGATTTTAAAATTCCATAACTCGTGAGAAAAATTAATCTAGAATAGCCCTGAAGTTCAAAGCCTTTAAACTTTCTTCTGATTTTGGCCTGAAATACCCGCTAGAGCCTTCTCCTGGCCACACAGGAGGAGCCACTCACCGAGGCTGTCCTCCCGTCCCGTGGCCGCCGGTGGCACGCCTTAAGCTCATAGTGCTCTACCAAGAACAGCTGAGTATGCTGAAAGTAATAATGAAGACTAAATATGCAACTTTAATCGTCAAAAAGGTGTCCAAGTAGTCAGCAGGAATTCCCTTTTTAGGAGTAACATTTCTTGTATTAGCACTAGGTCTTTTGCCATGTAACACTCATAGTATGTTTTCTGCTCTGAACATTTAGTCATAAAATTTGGTGATGAAATCGTTTTTAAAAAGGAACTTACCAGATGCAGCAAAGGTGGGGACGGGTGGTGGGGGGAGATGATGTATTCGATCTTATAAATAATACTTTTCAGAGCTCTGTCATTTTCCGCTAGTCCAGAGGGTGTTGTTGGTGTCCAGTGTTCTTACCCGCCTGTCTCCCAGTGGTCTGTAGCCTTGAGCTCTGTGTCCAGCAGTGCAGTGTAGTGACACTGTGGGAAGCCTTTGTTTTCCAACCTGCAGCCTTTTGGAAGTAGCTATCGATGGTTTCCTTCTTATTTTCTCGTCTTTTCTCACAAAGCAAATGATGGCACCCATGTTTACATTGTATCTTCCCGCAATGTACTTGGCTTGACAAGGACAAGCAGGCTTCTCTATTGAGACTTATTATATTTTTAGTTTTCATAGACACTTATTTAATCTTTTTTTATTGTACAGCAAGGTGCTCTGAGTAATATTATATAAAATATATTTAATAGAAATTTGAGTTTGATATTCATGGACATGAATACATGTATTTTTTTAAGAAATAAGTATTGTGTAACACTATGGCATTGCTTCTATAGCCAAAGTCTAAAAGTTTCTGGAACACTGACATGTAAAGACTGCAGTTAATTCTGACACTGTATCTTATTAAAATAGGATGATTTGCATTTTGTGAAATTATCCTGCACATCAAGCTGCATGCCTTAAAGCCTAAAACTCTAGGATTGTGTTCATGGTAGAACAGTTTATCTGTTCAGCATACAGTGAAGCAAGGTCTATAGCGCTTCTTTAACTACCTTTGGAAATACTGTACAATGTTAGAATAATTTATTTTGCTTTACAGGAGTTTGTCATGTATTGACTTTAATATTGTATTTTGGTAATAAATTTTTTGTTAAAACACCTGCCTCTGTGTTTTATTAATAGTAGCCTGTATTCATTCTTACCTGGGACACGTGGATGGATCCCTTAGAAAGTTGTATTTAAATAACAAACGGGGCTGTTAACTGCCTATGGTTTATGATTACCCTCAGGAGCATTGCTGACAAGCTCTAAGTGGCCTTACAGAGACCCTTGGAAAACCCAGTCAGACTTTAAGTTGTGTTAAAGATTCAGTGAATGTGCAGCTTTCCCTTGCTCCACAGCTTCTTTTGTCTTCCAGACCACATCCTTACACGCCTTCAACTCAAGACAGTCAAAGTGCTAGAGATCCGCTCTGTTTAGTGCCAGTATTCTCTATTGGAGGACAAAGATTATACCGGTAATAACCTCACTCATCTGGTTGTCCATTTACACCCTAGAATCCTGGGCCTCCTCAAGTTAAAATATCTGATCCAAAAGCTGCTTTCTCTTGTCCCCTGGGGCTTCAGAATTACATCTCCTGTCTTTCAAGAACCAAATCTCAACTCTGTGTCACTAAACTCCAGGGTACTGTGGAAATTCCACTGTGGGAGACCGAGAGCATCCGGGATGCTTGGCAGCCAGTAGGCACACATGGCTAATAAGCACTTGAAAGGCCGGTAGTATGTGCCCCCATGTGCAAACAAAACAGTTTTCACATCTTAGTACAAACCATGTAAAGTATCGCTATCTCCATGTCTTTTTGGATAGCTTACATGTTGAAATTTTGGTTATTGGAGTTAAATTTTAAAAATAATTACTTTTTTTTACTGTGGCTTCTAAAGATTTTTAAGATATTTTCATTTATGCATACAGAACTGGAGTACAGGCCAGAGGTGCAGGGGGTGAGAGGATTCACCAGAGACACAGTGGGGAGCAGAACAGACAGGTCCACTGAAACACTGCTGAGGGGAGAAGCAGGGAAACGGGAGAGGTCTGCGGCGCCCTGTGGGTCACTCCCTGGCCGGGGACTGAATTTGTGCTGAAGCTGCTGCAGCTACCTTTGCAGTGCTTCAACACATTTTGCCACCAGGCAGAGCCCTAAATTATTTTAAATTACACTTCTGACTTGTGTTCTATTTCTGTTAAACAGCGCTGGTTTAGAAAAAATTAACAATGATTGCCCTAACTTGGTCGGCCACCTGTTTTTCTAAGTCCCATTTTACTGAAACATGGCCAGGCCCATTCTCCATATTATAGATGCCCATTCTCCATATTATAGATGCCTGTGTTCAGTGGTGTTGAGTCCTGACAGAAATCACATGGCACACAAAGACCAAATTTTTACATTACATTTGGTAGTAGTTTGGCAGAAACCTTATTGACCTCTGAACTGGAACAACAGCATGACAGGTGCTCTAAAGCCACCAGAAAGAAGAAAGTTTATACAGAAAGCTTTTTATAGCACTGTTGTATAACTAAATTGTTTCTCTGTAATTTTAATAGTCTTCCTGTTCTTCAGAATGGGTTTAACCTAACACAATTTCAGCACCTCTGATAAAACCAGAGTTTGCTTAAAACAGCAGCACATAATAAAATTAAACATTAAATAATACAGTCACAAATAGGATGATCTTGTTTTCTTCCTGATGATTTCGCTGTGTCTGTGAGACCTCAGCTGCTTCACCCTTGCCAATCTATGGACACCACAGGTAATGATGTGGTCACGCCACCTACACATCTAACTGGTACAAGGTAACCATGGCAACTGACCCACTCAGCTGGGCTGACAATTGACATGAATAATCCAGGATATTAAGAAGAAAGTCCTACACACACCTCTTTAAAATTGTGTGATTCTAATGCCAACTGTCCAGGGTGGGTAGAGGTGGTGGTTGCCTTTGCTTGCCAGAACTAAGCAAGTCACAATATCAACTTCCACAGATTTATCCCAAACCAGTTTGTCAAGATGTAGTGTACATCTTTGGCCTCATACATTCTTTAAAAAGTTTATATTTTTAATTGGTGCTGTACGATAGGCTTCCTTGGTTAAGTTAATAGTATTGTGCTTTTGTCTCAGAATGAAAGGAGTATGATGCTCGAACCTTTGCTGGAGTCTTTCATACACTGCAAAATCCACATGCAGTGTTGGGAACTCCAGATCTCATTTATCTGGTGGTACAACAATCAATACGTTACCTGGTTTCTCATTTGAATCATAAAGTAATGATGTGTTTTTTTTTAATCTCGATTTTCCACTCACACTTGAGTGTTATAAAAGTAGATTATGGTAGCTCTTCCTTTGAAGGTTTAATTTTATAGTTTAATTTTAGGCATCTAATACAAGTTCTTAGCATTATACATAACACAAGCAGGTGTGTGCCTACTTCGAACTCCACTGGCTTTGCACCAGCCATATCCCTTAATCCAGTTAGTAAAGGCCCCATTTCAAGGCTGCACAAAACTAAGTGTAAGACGATGTTTCCATGGTGATACTGAGCTACTTGGGGCCTTTGTTGTAAGAGGACATTACTGGTTAGGTGGATGAAGTTTTCTTTACACAAATCCGAAAATAATGAGCCCTCAGCAGTGAGCTCCGGCCTAACTTCATCGTTCTGGTTTCTCAGCTTTAAACTTTGTTAAAAGGAAAAATGAAAAAAATATTTACAATTATCCATGTCATTGTCACTGGTATCTGGGATAAACAAATCTGGTTTTTTTCATTATTATTAATAGCGTCATTTAATTTCGGTACAATGGGAAATGGTGCCCTGAAGAGGCCCTCAACAAACTTTTTTTTTAAAGATTTATTTTTATTTATGCTCAGAACTGGGTGTAGGCCAGAAGTGCAGGGGGTGAGTGGACTCACCAGAGACAGAGTGGGGAGCAGAACAGGCAGATCAACGAAGTACACTGCTGAGGGGAGCAGCGGGCAGGTCAGGAGAGGTCTGCCGCGCCATGTGGGTCACCTGCAGGGTGGGGATCAAACTTGCTCTGAAGTAGCTGTGGCTTGCTTGCAGTACTGCGGTTTAACCCACTGCACCACCAGGGAGGGCCCAAAACTTTTTTTTAAAGTTACTCATTCTTCAGGTCTATTATTAGTACCTACACAGCATTATTTAAAGGTTTATTGACACTACGGGGCACATCTCCAGATTTTCATTTTTTCTATTTGTCATTATATTAATTTTAGTATCCATATTTCAGAAATAATGTGGCTGTGTTTTACTGAAATAGGCACATCAATCCACATCTTGCTCTTTTTGTTTATATCCACAGGCCTATTTAAATTCAGTATTTCTAACCACAAAAGGTGTTAGAAAATTCTATTTCAGACTTCTGAGAAAAAGTACAGCGGGACGTGGTTCAAATCTTAAGCTGTATTTTTTTCTGGTCCTCTGCAGCTCATATTCTTCAAAAAATAGTGATGCTGAGATAGTGAAATAATTGAAGGAGCGCAGTGGTTTCAAGGCTATCTCTGTTTTCTAAGTCCCTCTCCCAGCGCAGCCTGAGGACACAGCTGAGGCCTGGTGCCTCTGGTGGTACTCTGGAGGCTGGGCACAGTATTAGCACACAGGTTAAAAACTAAAATAAGACTTTCCAGCATCTCTACCCAGCTGGTGCAACCCTGTGTTCAATGTGCAAATGCTGATTAAGAGACACCAGTGTGATGAGACTGTATTTAAAACTTACTTTGTGATGGCAGAGAAAAGAAATGCATGAATCTGGGCCATCTGGGCACAATGGGTTAAGGCACAGCTCTGAGAGGTTCTCTGCAGCCCTGCAGCATAAGTTCCATCCCAGGCCAGGGAGCTGCCCCACAGGGCGCAGCTGAAGCGCTTGTCTATGCAGTAATCTGCATTTACATAGCACCTTTCAGCTGATAATAGGAAATCACATAAACAACTAATTGAGTTTCTAAATGTTTCTATGTTCACACTTCTGGTAAAATGTATCCAGTAAAATTAAAATTCTAGTTTTTAAAAAAGTGAAATTGGGCCCTCTCCGCTGGTGCAATGGGTTAGGACACAGCACTGCAAGCTCGCTGCAGCCACGTCAGTGAGAGTTCAATCCCCAGCCCCAGAGGTGATCCATAGGGTGCAGCAGACCTCTCCTGTTTTGCCTGCTGCTCCCCTCTGCAGTGTACTTCATTGATCTGCCTGTTCTGCTCCCCACTGTCTCTGGTGAAGCTTCTCACCCCCACCCCTGCACCTCTGGCCTGTACCCCAGTTCATACGAATAAATAAATAAAACTTTATTTTTAAGTGGAGTTGTTTTTCCATAAAATGTGGGGGAAGGGGAGAGCTCATAGAACTGGGGGCTCTGTGTTTTGTAGCGGAGCAATGATCAGGTATTTTTAGACTGATTACTCTGGTTCTGCTTCTCAATCATAAGCTGATTCCACACACTAGCTTTATAAAATAATTCTTGTGCTTACAGTTTGTGATCATAAAACAAAAAACGATGAATAGTGTGCATGAAATAAAACACATTCAACCCTAACCCTCAAAGGACATCCCTTCACAAGAATTGACCTCCAGTATCCGTTCTTCTCTCCTAGGGTGGTAAAATTGTTACCTGAGCTCACGGATTCCAGCTAGACTACAACCCAGTCTCTCTTAGAGCTATCAAGAAGTTTGCAGACTGTCAACCCTTTTTGACAAAGTGGTGTAATATGAATTCGATGAAAATCTTACTGGGGAAATATATGTAGTGTGCCGACTGTCCAACCCAATGTCTATCCCCATTAGAGAATATTCGGTATTGCAAAGATCTCTTTCTCCTGAAGGTTTCCATACGTTTTATGCAAGTAGAAAACTCTGTTCTTTCTTGGAAACTGGTAGATCATTATAAAATTTCTCTAAGCAAATAAATGTGCAAAACTTGCCAAGACATATGCTTAAAAGAAGATAATTAAGGTGCAATTCTGCTCCCAAACACAAAGCATTCGATAAAGAAGCAGTAATTAAAAATGTATGGAACTGTTGCATTTAGGTTATTTTCTTTTCTTTTTTTTTAGTTAGAAATGAGGT